TCTGTATTTTAATCATTGTTACATCCCCTACCAACATCTTCCCTGGGCCAATGCTACTATAAATATTTTATTTGTAGAACTAATTCCAAGACCAATATCTATATATTGACCAATAAAACAAATAAAAGATTCAATATCCTTACAAGGAGTAATTGTACTACGGAAAAACACAAGTCCAACATTTTCTACGTATCCAATTCTACTTTCCGCGGGGCAATCGATAAATGACAGAAAATAACTGTAAGTGTCAAAGACTAACAGAGATAATTCCCTCAAGAAAGGCCAAAGAAAAGTGACTAATATATTACAAGTGTTAGAATCATTTATTATTGACGAAGCTAAAAAAAAATACCCCTTGCTAAACTTGTTTTAAGAAAATAATTGAGTGCTTTGTCTTATTACGTTACTATTATAAAATCAGTTGAAGGCGATCCGCATTCAAATGTTAAGGTAAAACAATAGCATAATAGAATTAAAATTGTACCACAGGTTAGTCCAGGTTAGTGTGCTACAAGGTAAATTTTGCCTGGGCGGCGGTGCTACAGCCTACTCTTATATCGAATTCCAACTGCCAAGGGATCTTTTAAATGCACGCCAATGTGTACCCGGACATTGGTTTTACATTGATTTAGAACTTAAAATGTTGGTCAACTAGCTTAGTGTCTGTTCTCAAGCGGAGCCAACTGTAGACAAGCAGCCTAAGTTTAGTATGAGCTTCATATTGTCTTTGTACATTATACTGATCTTTTGTTGTCGAGTATCAAAGGATAAAACATGAACTGTTTGTTTAAAACTGAACAATATACAGAATACAGTTTTAATGTGTATTAGTCTATATTAAAACCGGTATACCCCAGTCTGTATCAATATATCATAGTAAAATTGTATACATGTGGTCAATACGTACAAATATACCATGGTAAAATTGTAAATAAGTGTTCAATAAGTCCTAATATACCACAGTAAAATTGTATACAAGTGTTCAATTTGTTCAAATATACCAATATTTTCATAGGTTATATAACAAAAAATGTTCATCGATATAACAACAATATGCAAATATTATTGTCAGGTTTTCTCTCGTCTATCCTAATTGATTGACACTTATCTTGATTTTTACACAAACTTTTTCTGGTTTTCGATGAAAAGAATTAGATATAAAAAAAATGGACAATACAGCATGTCAATAATCTACCGTTAAAATAACATGATCTGTGTCATTGCAAGAATTAAAGAGATCACATCTCAAATCTCAATATCTATTCATAAGATCCGACAAAGTTATTCTAACTGAGAGGCACCACTGCAGATTCATGATTTGTAACACTCAAATATAGGTTGGTTATACAAAAAACATAATATGGAACACAATTACTATTTTATTTAAAGCGATGTTTCGTTGAGGGTTCTCTCAACGTTTTCAAGCAAATGATAATGAAAATAATGTACAGAGGGTTTATATACAAAGAAGATATTATAGGTTGGTTGTTGATGTTTTTCAAAACAACATACAGCAACTTTAACCTGCTCACTGAGAGTTGCTAATGAAAGAAACTTGGCTTGGTAAACCCAAATTTTAAATTGGTTGTTGTATAGAGCATCTTTAACCTGTTCACTGAGAGCCACCAATGAAAGTAACTTGGCTTGGTAAACCCAAATTTGAAATCGGTTGTTTTATAGAGCAACTGTAACCTGTTCACTGAGAGCCGCCAATGAAAGTAACATTACTTGGTAAACATAAATTTTAAATCGGTTGTTTTGTAGAGCAACTTTAACCTGCTCACTACGAGCCACCAATAAAAGTAACTTGGCTCAGTAAACTCGAATATTGATTGGTTGTTTTATAGAGCAACTTTAACCTGCTCACTACGAGCCACCAATAAAAGAAACGTGGCTTGGTAAACAAACGCTAATAGATAACGATCAGGCCAACATTTAAACAATTAACAAAACAGCGGGAGTTGCTTTTTAACGTTAATTACTCCATCATATCTTCCGTCAAGTTTTTTATAGTTTATCTTTAGTTGACTAGGTACTCTGCTTCTTAACTTTACCACAGCAATCAGTCAGAAATGTAATTTATAACATAATTTCAAGAGAACAGGCTGGGTTTTTTAAAAGTATTGGATGAAATGTTAAGTTATCTATTTTGGCACGGGTCCTAAGTTGATAATGACTGCGTATATTAATGTATATGAAGAGTTTGGATGAGTCAATATTACCTGGTGTTGTTTCTGCTTTTATTCTCTCTTGAGAGATGTTTTATCATCTCTCTTCGGTTGAATTTATCATTTATAGTGCAATGAAAAAACACATGTTGAAATAAATGCACACTACCATACGTCCGTCCGTTATATGTATATTTATGGCATTTAAATAGCAAAGAACATAATGACGACATCAAGGTAAGGATGATTCAAAAGTACCATCTATTAACTCCTATTTAATTTTTGTTAGCACTTGAACCACCAACTGCAACTAGGACCCCAAATTGTTCGAGTTACGTGAATAGAGAAGATTCTGAATGTTGATTGCTATTCTTTTCAGCACTTCAATTTTCACAATAATAATATAGTAGTTTGAAAGGGATTAAATTCCCTCAAATAACCATTATAGACTATACATCAATCTGTTTTCTGAGTATACCCTGCCTTATCCATGACACCAGTTACTACATCTAGCCAAGCTGATCAATAAATTGGTCTATAAGACGTGACCGAGAAAAGATTCATACTAAATCATTATAATGAGGAATCTTTCGGATATGTCTATATTTGGAAATAGGTTAATGACGGCAGATGACATGCTAAAATAGATTTCCTTTATACATAAGCCCTGTGTAGTCTTATAAAATGTAGTCTAAATCATCAAGCCATTAACCATTATTGAATAGCAGAAGGAATTAACTTATGGCCATTACTGGTTGAAAAGGACTATAATAAAGATTACTACAGCATGTATTCGTGGGAAACACTTCATCAGTCATCATCAGCGCTCTTACTGGATCTAGTCTTGATTAATCAGTCTTAAAATAAGTACCAGTTTTTTTTATTATATCTGGTTAACAAGGACTATAACTATGGGTAATCTGCACTTGAGGCAACAGAGGACCGAGAAGTAGTCTTGAATAGTAAGACATACAAATACTTATGGATGTTATCAAAACTGGTTAAAAGAGGCTATAGAGAAAGTACGCTACAAATGAAGAAGCAATGTTGAGTAGTCTTGATTAATAAGACATAAATATTTTATAGATATAATAAAACTGGTTAAAAGGGGCTATAGAGAAGCAATGAGAGATGTTGTTGGGGGTATTAAGACATTTGGATATTACTTCGTTAATGACTTATTGATGAAAGCGGATCAATATCTGGGTCATGTCAAACGGACACACAATGGTCAAGTATTGGTCAACAGACTACAACAACATGTTTTCTACATAAATGAAATGAAATGGCTTTTAACCGCCTACTTTTCTGCACCGACTTGACTAACAAAGACAAGTTTACACCCTTACAATGTGCTATGAGGGAAATTTTGCCGGGACAGTGGCGCTACGTATTTATCAAGACCATGAAAAACAGAAAATAAAATTGGTCGAGAGAGAGAGAGAGAAAGAGAGAGAGAGAGAGAGAGGGGTAACCTCCACTGACACAAATTAGGTCATTTTGGGACTAAAATATGGTTCAATTTTATTTCAATAATGCGCTTGCCCATAAGGGTCTTTAGCAGGAGGAGGAAACCGGAGGTTGGACAGGTGAAATTGGTTTAGTCTAAGTTAGAATATTTGAGCCCACTGCCATTATCTTGGAAATATTTACACTTTATCTTTTTTATTTATTTACATATTTCTAAATTAAGAAGATTGTATTCCACAGTTCCCTGATATTATAAATTCTAACACAAGACAATTCTGACATTATAAAATAAAGTGTATAAAACTGTATAACTGTTAACAGAGATCTATCGAGAATAAATGTCTGACTTCCCGCGGCCGCCATCACTTGTGGGTATTGTTTTTAATATTTATCGAATTAACTCGATACGACATCGGGGCATCCGAGACATAGCACTGGGAAATAAAGACTTCCCATAGAGACTGGATGCCCATTCATTAATTATGCCCCGATCGTCAAGAGGTTTAACAGACACGGTTTTGTAATTTCGACTATGGTTGGTATCTTGTGTATAGTACCATATTAATGTTTGTGTTCTGTCTATTCTCTACCGTCGTTTCCATGCCAAACTTTTCAAGGAATTTCCTGAAGTTCTCTGTTCTCTTGAAGAGTTTATGTAATTAACACATACTTTACTATTGGGAATCAAATTAGACTTTTTTAAAGCATAATTAACGCCTAACTTTCTTTAGGAACTATGTCAAAACTACTTATTAGCTTTCTTTTATGTGCATTCCAACCTGGGTTTTTTTTTTGTGCCATCCAAAGGGTGACAAGGCTGGAAATAAGGCATCTGTCACAGACATTGACTGGCACAAATTCAGGCTGTCAGGCATGGTTCCTGGTGCCTGTTACTTTGTACAAGACAGATTTTTCTCTTTGCATTGATTCTATTTAATGAATTTTCAGCACCATGAACAATATTCAGGTACTAGCTCATTAGTACATGACATTTTGTCAAGTAGGCCTACAACTAAAATTATTCATTTCTAGGCTTATTTATTTATTACTGAACTCTTAATTATCTAAAGGGATTTGTGTCCGACTGCCAATCTAGGGTCCTTTTATATGCATTGCAATGTGTTTACCATGGCAGATATTTTTGGTACCATCTAAATGACTATGTAAGGTGTAAAGGTGAAATTATTGTGCATTCCAGTGTGCTTATAGGATTTACCTTCAAGTTTTTTTTTTTTTTGTACCATCCAAATGACTATGTAAAGGACAAAGGAGTATTTACAGGATTTATCTCCGAGGTTTTGTTTGTACCATCCAAATGACTAGGTGTAAAGTGAAATTATTGTACAGTTTTTCTAAACTCACCTCATATTCCATTTCATAATGTCGGTCATCAAAATAGGGATCATCATACTCCATATTGTGGGACATCTCAATATCTGTTAGTCCCATCTCGGCACTTGGTGAAAAGGCGACCGGTCGTCTGGAGGAAGGCTGGTATAATCTGAAATATAAAATAAATTTTTAAAATCAGGGTTCACTTCGGAGTTCTTAATCTATTTTGAAATGATCTGGTCAGGTGGTGGTTGTCAAATTCAGGAATTATTGTATGTGTATATTTTGATACAGGTATAGCAGTTTGATAATTGTAAAGCACATCTGAGCATTGCTTAGTGAAAAAATGCATTGTACAAAAATTTGAATTAATATCTGTTACAGGTACTGAGAAATAGGCTCCCGCGGTAAATAATAATAATAAATAATAATTTTAGTAAGAACAATAGTCTTTCAGACAAAAGTAGCCTAATAATACATATATAATCAAATATCATTTTTATGTCAATAATTCGTCATAATTTTTTCTCACAGAAATCCACGATCTCATCTTAACAGAGTAATTGCTTTCTTTTATTTTAATAGAACTGAGCGTGAACAAATGGCAATGATCTTCTTCTTGTTCCTGCATTTCTTTTTTCACAACTCTTTGCCCTCAGGAGTTAACATATTTATCGTTAAAAAACGACCATAATTTAAAAACTCTCTGAATCATAAGGAAATTTTGGATCGTGTTTTTTTTTTCTAGACGCAGGGAGTCGTATGGAAATCAATCAATCATCACAGCAGCCAACAAGTTGTAATTATAATTCAACATGCTCAGATCGTGGTTAGAAATGTGTGCAAGCGTTATCTTGGAATCAAATCAAACCCCTGAAACTAATCGTCATATGGAAGGATTATTCACTGTCAGACCCGGAAGATTGCGATTGTTCCGATTTCAATCCCTGCTATTTCAGTCTGCATCTAGAACTGTCAAAATGTCGCTCCACGGAATAAAAGCTACGATTATTAATGAGAAAAGAGTGAGATCATCGCATTATTAGTGACTATTGCGATGCTTCATTTCATCAACTGGTGAAGAGTAAATTTACGACATTTCAACAAACTGGAAATGTGATCAATACCAACGTTAGATTGGTACCATCGTGATTGATGTCAAAATTTCTAACCTTTCTGCAACCTACAATTTTACTATCTTCCAGTGATTCATCAGAAATACCGAACTTACTTCGTAACTATCATTACCGTAACCAACGACAATAGGTCGTTCCTCTGGCAACCAAATAAATCATCAAAATATCAGTAAATTTTTGTGATCTTGAAATTTCTCACATCTTTTTTTTGTGATTTTTTTCCCCCTCAAAATTATCAAAATAATCTCAATAAGTTTTAGCACCAGTCAGCATTTCTGCACTTGGCGATAGAATATCGACATTATCACTAAAATTAAACAAAACAAATAAGATCGAAAGATTTGCCACTTTTTTTTCCTCCAAAATTATCAAAATAATCTTAATAAGTTTTAGCACAAGTCGGCATTTCTGCACGTGGCATTGGAATATCGACATTATCCCTAAAATTAAACAAAACAAATAGGATCGAAAGATAGCTTTTCTGTTGTTTATCGGCCAAAAGCAAGTATTATAGCCGATCTGTTTAGTCCTTCATCAAAGCCATTGATTGAATCCCCGTCATCCATTGTAATAAACTAAAGCAGTAGAAACACTGGCTTTGATCATAACAATATAACTATAACTGAAAGTCGATTTCTGGTCTAACAAGGTTATTGAGATCAACTGAGGCTCCCCAAGAGAGGAGTATTGTGTCAATCATGGGTCACATCAGCTGCGACAATATTCATTATGGTGGGGGGTCAATCATGCGAATCACGATAATTCTTGTACACTGATTTACAAATTAGAATCAAACTAAAACAATACCAGGATGTTATTGATTATAATCTCCTACCAGATTAATAACCTTCTAGCAAATTGGAATAATATATCAGTGTAATTTCAGGAAATGAAATGGGGTTTAACATCCCACTGTTCTGTTCCATCTGAAGACGGGCATACTTCATGCAGTGTTTTCTAAGGTAATTTTCGAATTGTAACCAGGAGGTCTGGGGTTCAATCCTGGTTTTCCCTTGTAAGTGCTACAGGATGGAAAGTATAGCCAGAAAAAACATCTATAGGCTAGTCGTTTGGATAGGAAGAAAGCAAGGTCTAGTCTACATGTTGGCATGCATGCATTGCTGTCTTTCTCTTATAGCACACTTTATGGCGTTGGATCTCTGAAACATCTAACTACATTTATAAAAACAATTGCTCCATGAAACACGTCCTTATTTTCATCATCTAAAGTAAACCTACCTTTCTAATAATTCAACAGGTATACACAGTTCTTCAACATCGTCTCCACGATCCATTTTGACTTTTCAAGTATTTCAGATCAACTACCTACTGATAACTGTTCAAATCGCTGAGATAGAAATTTTACTGATACAGATTCAAGGGAATCAAATTAAATTCAAAACTGTTTTGAAACTTCTTTATGCAAGAGATACTTATATGTACGGATTCTGAATCTTTGTCGATTAACAAACGTTTAAAAAAAACTTTAACGTCTAAACGTCCTATTTTAAAGAATAGATTTTATGTTCAATCAGTATTTAACTCTAATAAAGTACTAATGTTCATTTCATTGATATGTTTACTTTCGATATCTGTAAACTTGAGTCTGTTGTCATAGACTCATTCACCAAAAACTTCTGCTAAAATCAGTACAAAAACCACAGTTGACAGAGTAACGGTAATTGTTATTTATAAAAACACCTTGATCTGTAGTCTCTGTCTACCACTTACATTTTCCTCTCCGATATTTCTAACAATAATTCTTCTTGGAGTATATATGTTGGCTTAGTATCATGTTACTATTGGTTTTCGATTGCTAATAGCCTCCTGTATCAAACAAGGCAATTCTCTTATCACAATAGTTTCTTTTATAAACAATAGCGGTCTGCTTCGTAATAGGCTGTATCGTTTTCAGCCTTTTTCTTGCCTCTTGAAATTCAAGCGATGATGTGGTTTATCGAGGAGCCGTTTCTGGCGTATTTGTTTTTCAATCTAAATAAAAGAATCAGGTACTTTTGTTTCGGAGACATCTAATGCAGAATCGATAATCTAATTTGACTTGTTTTCTATAAATATACCTTGAAGTTCTATTTTGTGTTCTGCGTATTAGTTTCTGCGACAGGTACGTCAATGTCTCCGCCTCTCTCCGTGTATTACAGTAATTTAATATTCCTTGAAACTATATTTAAATTGAATTTCTTGGTTTGTGGACAGAAGTCTATAATAATAGTAATAATACCATCTGTTACAATAAATTCATCACATTGTCTTTAACGGTTTGTCCGCGTAGAAGGTAATTTCTATCTGACAATAATCAATATAGTGAATCACAGCCTGTCTTTCGATACGTTGTGTGTCGTTTAGTCGGCTGCTGAAGACATGCCCACATTTGTTAATGTCTCTGTGCGTTATTTTTATAACTCTCAGCTCTCTTGTCCTTGGTGACTTATAAAACCATCAGACTATTTATTCTCCTCTCAATAACAATAATATCAATGGCACTTCTTTCAATAACATTTCATACTCCCAATATGACAAATGGACGATTCCTTCACAAAGAGATATTCTTCTTCAAGAATAATATTGGCCAATTTTATTCTCAGAATGATAGTTCTCAGAGAATAATATTAGTTCAGACTGGTTTTTCTTTTTTAGTTTTTTCAATGTAAATATTTAACCAGAAATTTTACTAGTAACACTGTCCTATAAATTCAGAGTCCACTACTTTTACCAATAAAAACTAAATCACAATAAAAATCAATAACAGTTTTACCAAACACCAGTTTGTAGATCCAATCCAACAAATGAAGGATTTTTTTCACACTGAGATATTCTTCACATAGAACTATCTTAATTTAGTTCTATCGTTTCAATGTCAGTATTTTGCCGGAATTTAAACACCATTAGCAATCCATTATAGAAAAATAAATCATTTGATGGTTGAAATGACCAATTCTGATATTCGTATGAAGAAATATATTAAAATCTGCTCCGTCCCCTAACTGCTATTACAACTCTTTAAATTTCTATAAAGTTTTTTTGATTAACAGAGAGGAAATAGACTTGACTTTTAAACTGAATTATTGATGAATCAACACAGGATATTCTATCTCCATTAACAGGTTTCGTCTGGCCGCTGTCAACGTAATTCACTCAAATTCACTCAACTGGAAAGCTAGTTACATGACTTTGTCAAACGCAACAAACAGAACAACTCTCCGGTTGATCATTAGCTCGTCCATTACACGATTTAATAAAACGCTATTTATTCAAACGGTCTAGTCTTTTATTCACTTCATAATTCTTCCTCTTTTATAAGAGAAATGAACCCACAAGACGTCTTTTTAAAAGCTTAATCTTTCGATAAACAAAAAATTAAACTATACAAAAAATAAATCTACAAGACCTCGATTTAATAGCTTAATATCTCACTTCGACTATATAAGAAATAAAGTCACAAGACGCCGATTCAAAAGTCTAATCTCCTGAAAATTATACTATCGTAGTTAGTTACACAATGGTTAGACTTTTAATATGTAAAACTCCCGTTTATATACCCATTATATAGTCTGTAGTCTCGCCAGCTGATTTTATCAAGGTAATTCATATACACACACACTATTAAAATACATAAACCGTTTGATAGCAGAAATAACAGTTCATCCCACTTCTGACACTAACGGTTTAACTTCTACTCAACTCCAAAGATCTTCTCCCATGCAGATTACGTTACTAGTCGGCCATGAATTCAAAATCAGATGAAATCTTTTCTGATTTTTTTGGGGTGGGGGGGGGGGGGAGGGGATCGAGTAAAGATTCTGTCTGCCGTTTAAAATCTGACCACATCAAAGAGAAATTTAACTCTCATTAGCCCAATCACTCCTTACTATCTTCTGTTTACACTGTAATGTCCGCCACTCTCAAATCTCTGCAGGCTTTTCTCCTTCAATAGTAGACGAATGGACGTCAATATCTAGCTAATATTCACAGAATTCTTCGTAATATACCGTTCAATACCAAAACTCTTTTCCAA